GTGGTGGTGGTGGTGGTGGTGGTCATCGCCGCGGAAGTTGTGCCAGGGGGTGATGGAGGTGGCGGTAAACGACTGCGGGCGGACCCCGGGATTGTGATCATCGGTGGTGAGTGTGGTCATCATCGTGAATGATGACCTACTGACTTTCTGATGGACGCCTGTCACGTCATCTAATAAATTCGAATTTAGGTGTCAAAGATTTTTCTGATTAATTTCCGATGCGTAAATAAACTAGATCCAATTTCATGAAAAGACATGCGGAATGTTAGCATCTCGTCAACCTCTCTCTCAAACATCCCACTGTCATCAACGAAAACCACGGTTGTAAAAACCCGACTACTCATATGTTAAGCAGTCGGTTTAATTGAATTTCGATATGTATATAAACTCGATCCAATTTCGCGGAGAAAAACAAGTCGAGACTTTTTGGAACGCATGCATGATTGTTCAAATGATCTTAATTCAGTCGAATGGCAACGGTAGGCTGTATAACCCCACTTCGCAACCAGTAACCCCATGCTAGTGTAATACGGGGATTGAGGTAACAGGAGTTTTACGGGCAAGACATCACCGAGGGGAGGGGTGCGAAATCATGCAAAAAAACCGAAAAGTAGATTTATTTCTGCTGAACTTCTTCTTCTATCCCCATATATAGCAACGGAATTGAGCGTGTAAGTTGAAAAATAAACAAAAAACAACTCTTAATAAACAAAAGGTAACTGAATAATTCGCCACTTGCAACCTTGCGGCAGCCCAGGAATCAACGGAACGAACAACCAATAGAAGATAAGAAAAGTAAATGCCAAATATTGCAACTGCGAAAATCTACTGAGAGGTAGCGGGATGCACATTAGCATTAGACAAACCATGTAAATACACCATAATAAACAAAGAAAACGTCAAATAACATTAGTACGAACGCCTGTTTTTATCTTCAGAATAAGTCGGCTGACTACTGAAAAATAAAAACTTAAGGAAACCAAATATGCATATGTAAAGTTTATGCCCAATAATGAAATGCATTTATGAACAGAGTAAGTAATAATGGTTGTTTTTTCCTTCTAAAACACAGACCATCGGGTCCATGTCGCAAAAGAGTCAGAAAACCGCAGCTGGAGTTCCTGACCAAAGCAGAGGAAGTAACCAAAGCTATAAATTCAGGGAAGATGATAGAATACTGCCAAGTAAGGAGACTGCTATCTAGTGTGGCAAAGTGCCAATGTGGACGCCAAATGGCGTCAGCAAGCATTGAGGCGGCACACCAACGGATATTTATTCCGGTGCGGCCTATGCCGAAGGAGGGGGAGCTCTAATGGCTCGGGTGTTGCGTCCCACGTAGACGGGGAGCAGTATCGTCTGTGGTTTAGCCTAGACAGCCTAAAGTAAGCGTGGGAAATATTCCTGCCGCTTACTGCGGAAGCATTTCCGGTACAACAGCTTCCCAAACAGGAAGCCTGGAGGGTTCCTTCCTGAACACAATTCAGCGACCATTTGTAGGTAAATTTTTGTACACAAACGTTCAACTGAATTTAACTGTCTTATTATTGGCTTAGGCGAGAGACCAAGTGTACTTGAAGAAGTAGCCGTTTAGATATGTCTAGGAAGCTGAGCGTCTGTGCTATAACGGGGACAAAGCAAACCAAACGCAACCGACGATCCCTACAGCACGCGTTGCATGGCGAGTACCGGCATCGAACAAGAATGTTGGATCAGTCTTTTTGAAGAAGTAAATATGTCACGACGTACGCGTCTGACAACAGAAACCGGTTGGGGATATCGTGAAAGCTGAGCGTTTATGCTCCAAGGCAAAGTAAACCAAGACGAAGAAGATCCTTAAGGTACTTTTTGTACGGTCTGTGCTGACACAACACAAAAAGTTATAGCTACCCTTTTAGAAGAAACGGATTACGGAGAGGGGGGTGAAAACCGAAGACCACCTCATGCCAAAAAACGTATCACTAAAATATCGTACTGAAACAACGCCTACTAAAACAAATATAGTAGTTTGTTATACATATAAAACTAAATAGGGCTACACGACCTATCCTTGTCCAGCAGAATTTTCAACACAGCCTGCGGGCTGACGATACTATCTACAATCATTGCGACATATCACGGAACAGCCAGAGGAATTGACTTCAGGCGGAGCTGTTTAGAAACTGGATGAGCCTTACTAAAAACCGTCTGCGTTTTAAAAAATAAACATTGCACCAGGAAATCTGACTAAAACGATTTCAAAATGCGCACGTAGGTTTAATCGCCACAGAGCCTGGTGGGTGTCGGGCGATGACTTGCGCGTGAATTTCCTTGCAGTTATCACAGACATGCACAGAATATTCCACACTCTCTCGTCCCTCACC